TAGGCAACCTTATTCTGGCTTATGCAGCTAATAAATAGTGGAACCACACTGGAACTCATACAGTCTGGCTGCAGAGTGTGCCCCTGACCACCACACAACACTGCCTGTCAAGATGTCAAGTGTCTCCTTGCGACTACAAAACTATGAGAACTAAAGCTGGCAGTAGGTGAGACATTGTATCAGGAGGAGTTGGTTTTTTTTTTTTTTCATAATCATTTCAAAGGCTGTGAATTTTTATCAAGCAAACAAGAAAAGAAAGTAATGTTAAGTTTTAAGAGTCTTTTGCTAAGAAGCAAAAATAACTCTAAGGAGTAAGCCATTCTACATCTAGAATACAGAGCAGCCTTGATTACCTAACTTCTAAATTCTTGTATAGAAACTGACAATAATAAAATAAAAACAATGGGACAACAGAGAAAGGAAGACATTAGTAGGCAGAAATAAATATGTTATCATTTCGATATAGTTCACCTCTATCACTGGGATCACTGGGGGGTCAGAGGGCAGAGAAGGAAAGAATTGGCATAAGTTATAAGAGGAAAAACATACTGTCTTCTTTTATCCAAAGGAAGCTGCAAAGTATCTGAAATGCCTTCAAAAGATACAAATACAGACTCTAATGCTGAGTCTCTTGGTTCAAACTATCTAGGCCAGGGTCCCTGCCCCTCAGAGCAGTCCCCTATGTGGAGGACTCTCCCTCTCCAGCTGTCTCTTTCTCACAGTGTGGCTTCAATGTCACTTCTTCCCTGACCCTTCCCTCTCACGGAATGTGGCCTGCCCCTTCACAGCACTTATCACAATTGGTAACAGCATAATTGTTTGTGATTATTTAACATCTGTCTTCTCACTCAACCACAGATCTGCAAATTACAGCCCACAGGTCATATGTGACCCGCTGTTTTTGGACATCAAGTTTCACTGGAACCCAGCCATGATCATTCATTTACCATTGTAACTGCTTTCACAATACAACAGAAGAGTGGCATGGTTGTGACAGAGATGTTATGGCCCACGAAACACAAAATGTTCACTCTCTAGCCCTTTGTAGACAAGCTGGCCATCCCCACAGTAGACCATAGACTCTATAATCCTTACAGAGTCCTCATAGGCTATTATATCTGACTCAGTTGCCAGCGCCTCCTAAGTGCCTTGCGTGCAGAAAAAACTTGATGAAGTTGCTGACTGAAAAAACTCAGGAAACAGGAAAGATAAGCAGTCATTATTCAGAGAACTTCACATCTATATATTCGTTTAATCCCACTAACCCAAGGCAGATTACTCTTAATCTCCCCATTCTACACATGGAAAATGGACAGAAGCTGTGGAGCCCACTCAGCCACTTAAGGCAGGGCTGGGATTCAAACACAGGTGGCCCAGATCCAGACTCTCAGCTTTCCACCACACGTCAGAAGAGAGGATGGCTTCATTCACAATTCTAGCCATTCCTTAGCTGCAGGTGCAGAGCCCCGGGCAGAGAGCCAGGACGGGTTCTGAGCACTTACCCTTTGGCAGCTGGTTGCCACATATTACCTAACCACTGGCACACCCCAGTGTAGTTATGGATGCCCGTCTTGCTGAGTTACCAGACAGATCACTTCAGAGTGTCCTACAGAGCAACCCTGAATATAACCCATCCTGCCTGCCAGGTCACTTATGTGGACTCACCATCCCCACTTCACAGGTGAGGGGAAGGAGGTCAATGGAGTTAAGTAATTTGCCAAGGTCAAGTGTTAGCATGAGACAGAGATTACTAGTCACTGCGACTCTACAACCCCAATTCCTGACTGAATGGCAGTTCTTCTCCAGGCTTTAACAGGGGACCAGTTCC